GGCGTGAGTGAAATTAGTGCGCCTTTACGTGGTGCGGTGTGATATGCGGGGTGTGTGATGCGAGTTGTGTGGTGTGAGGTGTGGTGTGTAGTGGGAGGTGTGTAGTGTTGTGTGACGTGTGTGGTCGGAGGTAGCTCGTAATTCTCGCCAACAAAACCTATGTATTTAATAAATCATCCTATCATCAATTCATCTGCCTTTACTAATGAATAGCTTACCTAATCCTCCGCTTGGTGATGTGTTCCGCCACCCGAGTAATGCTTCACTCCCGCTATGGTTCCTCTTGATGTATACGCGCACAAACACAAGTCTTATAAGGTCGGGGTGGAGGTGAGAGTGGAGAGCACGGAGTCCGTCACCTGTTCACTTCGCTACTGGAAACAAACTAATCAGTTGAGCAAGTTTTCACGATCGAAATTAATACCACTCAAGTCGAACCCAAACCGAAACAGTCGAACTAACCGAATCACGAAGTTTGAACCAACACCCCAAGGGATGAGGGAAGAGGACGACGCTCTGGTTGACACAAATATGTCTTATTTTATTAAGTTAACTTTCCATTATATATTTACATTCTTAACTGTGTAGTTGTGGCATGTATCGTTATGGTTAGCAACATACTAAAACTAGGCAAAGTCAACCATTTTATTCTATACATTGTATAAGCGAAAACATGTAAGTCCTTCTTTGTTAATATTTACGTTAAAGTCTTTTATATCCGTAATTAGTGGACGTACATTTATGATACGCGAGGAGAAGAAAACAGCGTCACGGAGCCATATTGACGCTTCCGAACTCAGCGTGTCAACACACCACAAGACGCTGGTGGCATCGTGGCGACATCTTCCAGAAGAAAAAGTTATTAATTAGATTTTACCACAATGATCCTTCCACGGTTATTATTATTATCATCAACCCTGGTGATTTAACGTGAATTAATTAAGACTGAGCAAGACAAGTAGGTACAAAAATGTAACTTATTAAACTAAGAACTATAACAGGCCTTGGTGTACCGGAACTACTTCAAGGTAGACGGTAGTTACCGAATCGTCCAAATGATTGTTAACATCTTGCCTAACACGGTCACACCACGGGTATCAGGACTCGATTTTAAGTACTATTAGTCTGAGATCATTAAGAAATTTGCTTCCTAACATATAAATCTAGTTCGTAGTGTGGCATCCCCTTAGAGCATGATCTAACTTATCAAACATAATATCAGATGTCTTAGTTGGAAAGATACTGTACAAACTGCCGCTGCCATCCAAGATAAGACACCACAACGAACGTGACAAAGAATCTTCCTAGCTACTCTGTCTTTCCAATCACACCCAGCCATCTTACCTCCCCAACTCCATCAGTTATCCTGTCCCTCGCAATGTAGTTTTAATATTAGACACAATTTGGTAGAGTTGACCACTAAATATTGACTTACTCTTACAGAAAACGAATACAGTTGAACATTGAAGAAAACGTAAACATTTCACTCTTCACGGGATGGCACGCGTAAATTCTCTTCCGTCAGTTCGCCTCTGAGAGCTCGTGTGTACTGCAGTGTGATAAAGCAACACTTAAAGAGTTTAAACAGACGAACATATTCAGAAGCTATATTTTATGATAATATAGTTTATGCAGCTAAATAAATAAGTTTTATTCGTAAAGTTTAAGTCTATATCAAAGTAAATAGCAATAATAACTGAGATAAATGTCAAATAAATCACTTTAAACTTTAAATAAATATTACTTGAAGAGATAGACTTACAAACTGAATAAGCCTTAAGTTTGGTTTAGTTAACTTCTGTCGTCTGCTTTTAAAATAAATATACAAATGTATGCTTTTAGGGGTCCTGTTCACGATCATCTTTCTCATTTATTTTCAAAACTTCTTCAGTACTCAACTCGTCTCTGTTGTCTTCTACCTCCTTCGCCTTTCACAGTCCATCACCGTCATCCTCCAGTGTCCAACATAGCCAGCCTTCCTCAGCTCGTTCTTAACACAATCCAGCCATCTTTGTCTAGGCCTTCCTCTCTCACTCTCCTCCTTTCTCCATTTTTTTTCAAGCAAGATATTCCTTTCTCCTTCTTCCTCACCAATATTTCTTAATCCTCCTTCCTTCACCCTATACCTGTACCAGTCTTCTCTCCACCACCCGCCTCAGTCTACCCTTCTCCAACAGCTTTCTCTTCACCACCAGTCTTCTCTCCACCACCCGCCTCAGTCTACCCTTCTCCAACAACTTCCTGTCCACCACCAGTATTCTCTCCACCACCCGCCTCAGTCTACCCTTCTCCAACAACTTTCTCTCCACCACCAGTCTTCTCTCCACCACCTGCCTCAGTCTACCCTTCTCCAACAACTTTCTCTCCACCACCAGTATTCTCTCCACCACCCGCCTCAGTCTACCCTTCTCCAACAACTTTCTCTCCACCACCAGTCTTCTCTCCACCACCCGCCTCAGTCTACCCTTCTCCAACAACTTTCTCTCCACCACCAGTATTCTCTCTGCCACCCGCCTCAGTCTACCCTTCTCCAACAATTTTCTCTCCACCACCAGTCTTCTCTCCACCACCTGCCTCAGTCTACCCTTCTCCAACAACTTTCTGTCCACCACCAGTATTCTCTCCACCACCCGCCTCAGTCTACCCTTCTCCAACAACTTTCTCTCCACCACCAGTATTCTCTCCACCACCCGCCTCAGTCTACCCTTCTCCATCAACTTTTTGTCCACCACCAGTCTTCTCTCCAAGGTCCTCTCCATTCCACTCCTCCCGTGTTACTCATTCTGGCTCCTCATTCTAGCTATGGGTTTATGGGTATTGTCTCTTTATAACACTGTTTCCTTGAGGTGTGATTAGGGGCATTTAAATTCAGGTACATTATTGCAATGGTAGTGTCTGCAACCACACCCACCCTTCTCTGATTAGTTGAATGACCCATTGACACACACACATACATAGACACACGGACATAGACAGACAGACAGACACACACACACACACACACACACATGTAATGGTGGGAATAAACAAAAAAGTCCAAACGTACAATCAATCTTTTTATTTTTAGCTTTTTACACATCCTATATATCTATATATACAACAGCCATGGGGTAAATTTTGTATACAACAACCATGGGATACAGTACTTTTGTATACTAACAGCCATGGGTTACTAATGTATACAACAACCATGGGGGTACTTTTGTATACAACAGCCATGGGTTAAATTTTGGTTAAATCTTTCAGCCCAATTACCTTTGAGATTCATCATCATCAACTCTACTGAGCCTTATCACATGAACCAATATGGCCTGTCATCTTTTACAGCTCAACATTCGAATCATTATGAAAAAAATACTATTACAATTACTTCAAAATCTTACAAAAAAAACTATTGCAATTACTTTCCACTATATCATGTATATATATATTCAAATCAGACCAGAATTAATATTTTTTTGGTGAAATTGTAAAAAAAAAAATCAGAGCAAACTTTCTGAACTTAAAAGTATGGTAGCATTATAACTAGAGCTTAAAGCAGGAATTTATTATTACATACTTTGGAAATGTATGACCCAACATTCATCTTAACTTCAACATTCACATTTCTAAAAACTAGACAAAACATAATTATGTACACTTCCAGTCCAGAATACAAAGGAAAACAAGATATTAAGTGAAAATAAATATTAATAAATTTGGCCTTAAATAATGATGCACATACAAATTTTTTTCTTTTTTTTTGGCATCATTTGCAGCTGGTAATTCACGGTAATTGAATCTTGTTTTGCAGCTAAATTATAAATGCATTTTATTTGTCCTAAAAGGATAACAGAACAAGATGTTATTACCTATGAATACAGCTGACAAGGACCCATGGTAATAAGACCTCCAGAAACACAATAAACTTCTACAGTCACTCAGAGCATCAAACTGACCAGTCACCAGTCCATTGACATTATATAAACTTGACTGTTGTAAGATGAACCCAGTCAAGAGTGAAGGAATATTCAATTCTGATAAATTAACATCAGTGAATTACCTTATATTGAATTTTCCTTAAGGACAATGATATATAGATATTAGTGTATGGAAGACTGAGGTCAGGTGTTGAGGCAGGGAGTGAATGTAGGAGGATATGAGGGTGTTGGAGGTGCTTACTCCAGAATCCCGGGTTCCTCAGTACACAGTCATCAAGCAGACACTGGTGGGGTGGTGGTCACTGTCTCGACAACCCAGAGTCAAGAAGTCAAATCATCATATACAAAGGTTGTTTTATAGTGCCCTTCACTCTACAAGTACATACAAAATTTATGATCATAATATGTACATACAATATATATATATATATATATATATATATATATATATATATATATATATATATATATATATATATATATATATATATATATATATATATATATATATATATATACATATATATATATATATATATATATATATATATATATATATATATATATATATATATATATACATATATATATATATACACTGTATATGTATATATATTAGCACTTGATTTATTTGGTAAAAACACTGCTCACTGCTGGAAGTCTACTGGTGTGTCATGAACATGTTGTGGAACTTTGCACAAAATTTATCTGGAGGTGAATTTCAAGTATAGAACAACTTTTCTGTCACTTCTATCAATATTTTAACAACAATATTACTGTACAGAAAAGGCAAGTGAGAAACTGGTTCATTAATAAGTTTGTATATGGCTAAACAACTAATTTTAGGCTAACTGAACAAGATTTGTGCTTTGTCAAGCATTACCAGTCACATGCTGGGCGTTACTACTAACTATCAATGTTCTGCTTGAGCACCAAGGCAACGACGTAACGGGGCTGGAGCCCAGGAGGGAAAACTCAAGTATTCTCAAGACATTTCAATATCACAAGCCACATGAAATATTTTGACTATATATATATATATATATATATATATATATATATATATATATAACTATTATAATTTTCTTTTTTTTAATGAAATTAAGAAAAACGTTAAACTCAAACTGAAAAAGTACACAATCACAAAATTCCCAAAAATTTAAATAAAAGGTAAAAATTTTCTTTCCTTCAGGTTTTCAAGCCTGAAAAAGTCTAAGTGTGAGAGATGCCACTGAAACTATCGCAAGTGTAAATACCGAACAACATGGTGTGTGAAACAGGTGAGGAGTGGCACCTCTTGTGTGGGCTTGGCACATGTGTCACAGGCAGGGTTGGGACGGTTCCTGTGTGGTGTGGGCGGAGAAGACAGCAGATATCACTAGTGACAGTCACAGCGCAGCTCGCGTCACTATACAGTCTGAGCTCTGTATGGTCGAGGATTACTGGAAGTCTGAAGTTTAATAAATGGCTGGAAGTCTGAGCCACTATAAGCCATGGATGGCTGGAAGTCTGAACTATTTACCAAATTTGGCAGGAGATCTAAACACCTTCATGCCAAAGATGGCTGGAAGAACAACAGCTTTGGTGATGGAGGGAGGGAGGGCATGGATGCACTTTGAAAACTCTTTGTAAACATTGGGCAGTTATCACTTATCTATTACGTCATTATTTTCTATATAAAAAGAAAAAACAGTTCACATACGAATAAAAACAAATCAAGTGAAAAATATTGTCCAATTTGATTGTCATATTTCTTAGATAAAAATCCAACGATTTTAACAAGTTTATCACAACTAACAATGGAACACCATTACCTCCACTCTCAAGAATCATGGAGAATAGTAATATTTATCTACATTAACATAAAATTTTCGTTAAAAAATATTGTGAACGAAAAAACACACAGAATAAGAATACTGGTTTCACGAATTTGCTTTCCCGTTACATCACAGTCCGTCATTGTGACCTGGAATTATTATGTAGGTTTAGAAATAACATCACATTCTCTATTTCAGGTTCGCCCTGGGTACCTTGAGCGTCTTGGCCATTTACACAGGTACAATGTCTTGGTTTGAAGTATAGTACACTGAAAAGTGATTTGTTTGATAATCAAATCCACGAGGTCATGGTTAGTACTTCAGGACGTCTCATTGGTAAAGTAATTAGCCCAGAAGACCTCATGGGTGAAGAGGTTGGTACCCCTAGGGGCCTAACAGGTGAAGTGGGTTGGTACACTTGTGGACCTCAGTTATGGTTGGTATGCCTGAGGGCCTGGAAGCACTGAGGCCTCAGGTAGAGCACAAGAAGGCACGGTGGAAAAAAATAAATGTTATTTCTGTCAAATTCTGGTAAAAAATAGATGAAGCCATCGGCAGCACTGAGCTGGTGGGTCACGTGAGGACAGGAGTCACTCCTTGACCGTTGTCTCTCCACCGCTGGCACCAATAGTATGGAAGATTCATTTTCATGGGGAGGGAGGAAGGGAAGTTAGTGAGAGCAAGCTAAGGGCTATATAGATCATATTTATGCAAAAATAAAAAATTGGCCACTCCAATCTGTGACGCCTACTATTTTGACACTAATACATAGCACTTGTAGTTTTGAAAGCACTCATTAGTCATCTCCATGAACCACTCACTAGTCCGTAAACTAAAAATAATTATTAATATTACAGTCGGGTCTTGTGCAGAGAACAAGTACAGGTACAAATGGCTGGTTACAAGAGCTTTGCGCAGACAGTAGCTGTGCACGGAAAGCACCTCTGCACAGGTACGCCATGTGGGCAGGATGCGAACTCGCTAGTCGCTGCACAGGTCGCACCAACACGGACTGGTCAACATCCTCCACACATCTGACTATACAAACATAAAATCTAGTCTAAATGCCCGACATTAATGGCATACTGTATTTACAAAAATAAAACTATTAAAAAGGGTTCCACAACAAACAGTGGAACAGTTTGTCGATAAAAATGCAGATATAGCTTTTTAACAAAGTTAAATTTGTATATATTGTAATTGTTTGGCTAACAAACAAATATGTCAGCTGGAGACAAATTTGCTATTGGCAATGTTTTTTGTTTTTTATTTTTACTGAAGATTAGATGGAGCCAAGAGGCGCCAGTCAGTAGCACAGAACTAAATGCCACTGACTACTATAGTGGAGCAGGCCAAGAGGTGGAGGCTACATGGCCTGCCTGACCTGCCCTCGACTATAACTCTGGGGGGGAGGAGGGGGAGGTGAAGACAGCTCAAGGTCCACCTCAATCGTCGTCTTTCTTCTCGGGCTTGAGATCAACCATTGCATGAAGTTCCTCTGGCGAGTAACTGTAAGAGAGATCCAAGATTACACTCACGACCTCCTTAACTATACCTGTCAAAACAAAAATAAAAATATGGGTTGCTGGATTCCGCTCAAGTATACAAAAAATTACTCTACACTCCAGCAATCATGATACATCTCCGTTACCATGTGTTGTGTAATATCATTTTCATCACATACACTCATAGAGGAGAACACTGTCTGCAGGTACCTACCCAAGTAGTGACTGGAGGTCGCACACAAAGCGGTAGACATATCGCTTGCCAGCTGTCTTGTGGATGATGTTCTTGTCGTAGTAATACCGGAGACCTCGAGACAGCTTCTCATAGTTCATCTTAGGTTTGTTCTTCCTCATCCCCCAGAGCCGCGCAACCTCGTCTGGGTCTGTCAGCTTGAATTCCCAGCCATCACCTGTCCACGAGATGTGTTGCTGCTGCTTCTTGTCTGTCAGTAGTTCCAGGAGGAATTGCCACAGCTGGATGGGTCCCGACCCAGTAAAACAGGGGCCACCGCTGCCTGTTTGGTACCCCAACGTCGCAGAACTGGGGCCCAAAAGGCTAGGGGGTGGCTTGGTGTCTGGGGTGACCACGTCATTGCGGGCTGGCAGGTAGTGGGCCAGATTAGGGCCACCAACGCCGCTGTTGATCTGTGAGAGGTCGTGGCCTTGTGCCGCTGCTGTCGCCCATGGCTCTGGCAGCGCCTGTGGCACTGTCTGGAACTGTGGGTCGTAGTGTGGCGTGGAGTAGCCATCGGAGTATTCGTGCGGATACCTGTGGGTAGCTGTGGGCTGTGGGTACTTGAAGTAGGACAGTCGGTACTTGTCGTGGAGGCTGTAGAAGTCATGTGCTGAAGGGTCGAGGTAGTGGACGGCAGGATGGTGGGAGTCAGGCAGGGTGTGGTAGGGTTCGGGGTCGGCTTCTGTGTAAGGCTGGGTCACGAACCCTCCAGGTGAACCCTCTGACGGGGGCTCACTCACGGCGCCCATGCTCTCCGCGCTGGGGTAGCCACCTGGAACAAAATAAAATAATTTTAGGAAATATTACCAACACACACACAAACAATGTAGTAAATCTAAAGAGAAATGACAATTAGAGAATGAAAAGTTATAAAGAAAAACACACGAAGATGTACAGAGACAACAGCAGAGTAGACAGTGAACGGCTAAGTTTGACGAGGTTAAGAATCGTTGTGAGACGAGCTAAGCAGAAGCAGTCGTCAGTACACAGCCCTCACCAGCATACAATGACCTCGACAGCATAAACAGCCCTCACCCATGTACACAGCCCTTACGTTGTACACAGTCCTCACCCATGTACACAACCCTCACCCATGTACACAACCCTCACCCATGTACACAACCCTCACCCATGTACACAGCCCTCACCCATGTACACAGCCTTTACTCGGTGTTCAAGGATCAATGGAGTGTTCAAGAAATTAACGGGGTGTAATCAACGGGAGGGTTGTGTCCATTTCTCTCGCGTAAAGAAAAAGTAGAATCAGGAACCCGCCAAAACAAAGCATTTTTTGGGGGGTATTTTTTATTCAATGGGTCACGTAATATTGTATTACTGTATATCCTCCCAGTGCTATTTCCAAGCTGTAAGTCTTTATTTTCACGTTACATAATATGAAACGAATCTTTTTGCTTGCTTGTGTGTGTGTGTGTGTGTGTGTGTGTGTGTGTGTGTGTGTGTAAATACCTAATACCCAAAAATAACGAACAAATTTAACAATCACACAATTTTTTTTTTTACATTTCTTCGTTTTAAATTATTAGCTTAAAAGAGGTTCTCATGTTAGCAAGACGTCGGACAACAAGAGATCCCAAAGAAGACAAAAGCGAACTTGGAATTTTGCATCGTTGATGAATACAAGGATCAAGAGGGGTTGTGTTGTGTTGTGTTGTATTGTGTTGCGTTGTGTTGTGTTGTGTTGTGTTGTGTTGTGTTGTGTTGCGTTGCGTTGTGTTGTGTTGTGTTGTGTTGTGTTGTGTTGCGTTGCGTTGCGTTGTGTTGTGTTGTGTTGTGTTGTGTTGTGGTTAATTTCGTCCTGACGGATAACAAGATTTTTTAGGAAGAAAATATTTAACCACTTCTAAAACGAATGATTTTCTATCCTCAAGAAAAAAAAACGATCGAATAATTATTTGGTTAATTCCATGTATGAAATTATGGCTATTACTTCTACTAAGACACGGAACTCACTGAGACTATGGCTAGCTATTAGTTCTTCTAAGACACGGAACTCACTGAAACTATGGCTAGCTATTAGTTCTTCTAAGACACGGAACTCACTGAAACTATGGCTAGCTATTAGTTCTTCTAAGACACTCAACTCACTGAGACTGGCTATTATGTCTTCTAAAACAGCAATCAACTCACTGTAACTGTGTCGCAACTGTGGCTTCACTCCATACAGCGTCCAGCACACCATGTTCCTGTTCCCGTAACACCAACAACAAACTTGCTGCTCAAAAATATCGCATCAAGAGGACGTCTGATCTGATGGTCCTCTCTCTCCGCTGAAGCTGTTGACTCCGCTGCCGTGTTTTGCTTATAGCCACAACAAAACGACTAACTCACGAAGGGAAAAAACTCGAGGTGCGTTAATCCAGCAAGTTGTCTATGTGTAGCTGGAGTCTGCACTAAGAGGCGGTGGTTGTGGGCGGTGGAAGTCGCTGCGCCAGAGATCCATCCGCAACCAACTCTTCCAGGATGGCGCTGGAACTCAACTGCCACCACTTCCAGTCCCTCACGCCTGCGCACCCTCGTCTTGCACCCCCCGTAACCCCAAGAGCCGAGAGCCTAATCAACTTAAGACTATAATTCTAACCCCTGTGAGCCCCGGGCACAAGAGCTATACTGAGGTCGTGGGTATGTGTGTGGGTTACAGACCTCTTGGCCTCTTCCCAGCAGTAATGGCGGCTTCTGAGTACAAGAAGAACCTACTTCCCAGTCGTTTCGCTGCCACTTTGACCTCGCGACCTGTGCATTTTCTAATCTGCTAATTGGGTTATGACCTCTGACCTGTGAGGGGTATTGTGCTAGCAACCATTCTCAAGCGGCACTATCTCACCCTCCTCCAAACACATATATCACACAATATATCTTGACGTTCACTCAACGTCTAACAAAAACAACCGTCAGATTTCATCAATTATTTTCTAGTTTGTGAGTGAGATTCGGAGGGGTTAGTTAAGTCACGACCTCGAGGTTATTTGGGATGTAGTAATCGTGTCCGACAGTATTAAGGAGGAACACGTTTTGGAGGGGGAGGTTGTGGAGGAGGAGATAGTGAGGAGGTTGTGGAGGAGGAGCAAGTTATGGAGGATCAGGAGGAGGGGGAGGAGGAGGAAGGAGCCACACGAAGGACTACCACAACCCCGACTCACATCAACGCTATAATTCAATTGTTAGAAAGAATGATTTGCGATACACTTAAAAGTTTTTATTTGTAAGGTGACAAAAAAAAAACCTACAATTTACTGGGAGGGGAAACTCTCACAATGTATATTACCTCTGAGATTCAATAGTAATTTACATTTTAATGCGTTGCTATTAGGGAAGAAATAACTATGCTAAATCGTGGCTATAATTGACCAAAATGATGGGACGTATTCTTTGTGTGGCTGCTATAGATGACGAGCAACACCCAACCCCACCCATCTCCCCCACACTGAGACGGTATCATTATTTCCGTCGAAACTGTTGTCCACCACGACTAACTTAATGCGATGTTTATCCTACGAGTGAGTCAAGACCTTTATGGTAAGGTGACACAGCAATCATGTCAAGGAGAAAGACTCAGTTAAGAGGTTTTACCACACACTCTTTAACCTGTGAGGTGACGATTTCTCCGACGACACCATGAAGCTAAGCGAGTAATGATCAAATGATTCTTCTTTAACTCTCACTGCGGTAAATGATCAATAAGAGAGAGATCTTTGGGTGGTTATTTGGTCAATCGGGATATAAATATAGGATGGAATAATGTAATGAGGTAAACAGAAATGGTTAGACCGGGTTAAAACACGCAATAGATCACCATAAAACTTATCTCTCAAAACAAACAGTTCAGTTCCCTAAGAGGACAGAGGTTAATGTCGCCCTGGCCGACACACGATCCTACACACACATACAGATGGTCATAATATTTCTGTGATTATAAGGGATCAATCACAATTAATGAACGTCAATTCCCCAAGAAGAACACCAGGTAGCTACAGTTACCCACAAGAGATTTGATACAGTTAAGTGGTTTATTGATGGGTGACTGTGAGGGCCCGAAGGTGAGAGAGGGCGAGAGAGGAATTCGTCCACCCAGGACACGATGATGGCATAACGCAGGACGAGGCGGAGCACAGGTGAGACGACGGTGGCGTTCAGTACCTGTGGCGCTACGATACCTTGGCCCCAGCACCTTTAGGAGTGTCAATACACCATGGGAGGTCACAAAACACCCCCTTCAGAGGCCACTACACACTCCTGGGAGGCCACCACTACATAACCTCAGGAGAGAGAACATCCCACTCGACACTTCATCAATACTTCTACATAAACTCAAACCCAACGTGATGTATATACAGTATATATATCTAAACACAATATCTGCAGCCAAGGAGGAAAAGTCTGCCCCCCCCCCCACCACCAGCCGGGTTAAGAGCATAAGGGATTTCCACCTTACTATCCCGGGAGGACAAAGACCAAGACGCCGTACTCTCGCCTCCAAAGACAATTACAATTACATCTTCGACACAGATAGTTGCTGGAGGCGGCTGCTGGTGAAATCCATTTGGCTGATTGATTTGTTAAGACGTTGTGGGCGGTGGTGTGCAAGCAGCGTCGGCGGCTAGGGCTAGGGCTAGGACTATATGCTCGGCTACCTAGTGCTGTTATGGCAGGAGAAAACTAACCTAGACTAAACAGGGATATTTTAGACTGTGGGTAGGAAAGGCTCAAGCTACCTAGGCTAGACTATCAGAGATCTTATGGGGTGAAGGGGGTAGACTATAGGCTATAGGCTGAATAGTCTTGGGTAGGCTATATAAGGCTCTTGTTAGGGAAGACTATTTGCTGGGCTAGGTCTATGAGGAGAAAGGAGACAATTAAATAAAGCCAGAATGAAAATATACAAGAAAAAGGTAAGAAAGATAGACGAAGCAACAGGTAATAATAGACGAAGCAACAGGTGGTGATAGACGAAGCAACAGGTGGTGAAAGACGAAGCAACAGGTGGTGACAGATGAAGCAATAGGTGGTGATAGACGAAACAACAGGTAATAATAGACGAAGCAACAGGTGGTGAAAGACGAAGCAACAGGTGGTGACAGATGAAGCAACAGGTGGTGATAGACGAAACAACAGGTAATAATAGACGAAGCAACAGGTGGTGATAGATGAAGCAACAGGTGGTGATAGACGAAGCAACAGGTGGTGACAGATGAAGCAACAGGTGGTGATAGATGAAGCAACAGGTAGTGAAAGATGAAGCAACAGGTGGTGATAGACGAAGCAACAGGTGGTGATAGATGAAGCAACAGGTAGTGAAAGATGAAGCAACAGGTGGTGATAGACGAAGCAACAGGTGGTGATAGACGAAGCAACAGGTAGTGAAAGATGAAGCAACAGGTGGTGATAGATGAAGCAACAGGTAGTGAAAGATGAAGCAACAGGTAGTGATAGACGAAGCAACAGGAATCAACAGTGGCAGATTTTAGGGGTCACTATTCCATTTATTTTTCTCTTCGGGGGTCGAGAGTACAAGACACTAAATAATGAACTGATGTGACACTTAGCCAAGGTACAACTCCGACCATCAATCCCAGAGAGAGCGGCGGGCGGCGGGCTGCGAGCGGCGGGCGACGGGCGGAGAGCGCGTGCGGCACGGAGGCAGGCAAACGTGGCACCAGCGGGTAACTCTCCATCGCGGCGCTGGGGTCAGGGCAGGTGGCACGCTGGGTCAAAGGTTATGACCCAAACAGTATGATACTAACCCAATTCACAGCC